ATGATAATCAATCAATACTCTAGTTCAAAGTGTGAACAAAATTAATCAAATGATGGACTCTATTAAAAATACTTTGTAATTAATTTACTACTATAATAGCTAATATATAATAAATAATTGTGTTATTTGTTATTAAATATGCACTTTGGTAAAAAAATAAGAAAATAAATTATAGCAAAAACGAAGTTTATTTAGTAAACACAGAAAATTAACAAGTCAATTTTTTATTTTATTAAAATAATTTTATATTTAATGTAATTATATATGTAATTTATTTATTTATTTTTATAATATAAAAATAATTTTAAATATATTAAAATAAAATTAACGTGATAATATAAATAATAATTATCTATTTTATTTGATATAATAATTATATATTTAAACATAAAAATAAAATTCAAGTATAATTACATTTCTATATGATTTATTTTTAGTTGACATTATATAATAAGCTCATAATCATATATTTATTTTTTTTACATCTTATTCATTTTGCAGACTTTCCGTAAAAAACAATAATATGTTAATTTTTGTATCTGAATTTTTTTTTTTTTACTTTTTTATAATTTTTTTTCCATATAACATAATATTTTTATTATGTTTTATATATACAAAAAAAAATTATATTTATACTTTACACATGACAAACATCTAGTTTTTACTAAAAATAAAGAGAGTAAAATTATATTTTAATTAGTAAATTAAAGTGCCAGAGATAGATTATATAATGACTCATAAAATTATAAATTTCTATTTAATTCTAAGAAGTAAGAATTTCTTCTATACATTTTTTTCTTGTTTATAATTTAGTGTTAAAGTAATTATATAATTTTCTTTTTCTTCTATTCATTTAAGCTATCGAGTTGATTCATCGTCATATATATATATATATATATTATAATTATATATAAAAGAACCCTTTCAAACGCCAAAAAGAACAAAAAAAAAACCCTAATCGGGTTCAGTGACGGTTTGCGGAGGAGTTGCTGGATAGAGAGAAGGCAACGGGGAAGATGGACGCCATGAGGAAGCAGCTCGATGTGCTCATGGGAGCTAATCGAAACGGTGACGTAAAGGAGGTGAACCGCAAATACTACGATCGAGATGTTTGTCGTCTCTTCTTGTCTGGCCTTTGTCCGCACGAACTCTTCCAATTAACGGTATTCCTTAGTTTGAGAATACGTTTGCTTAATTAGTTTAACAGGCTTTGTTTGTTCTTGAAATTTTTTCCTGAGGCCCTAATTTGTCAGTGTAAGCGGATATTCAGTTAAAGTCTTTTTCATTTATGAGAACGCGAAAGAAAAATGGATTACACGCCTCTTATTTGATTTTTTGCTGCTTCCTGGGTTTTATATGGAGCTAAACAGGATTCCTAGACTATAGAGCAGGAGAGAAATCAATAGTTCTAGAGAGAGAGATGATGCAGCAATGCAAAAGCTTTTTTTATGTTAAAACTCGTATGCTAGCCTCGTCTGAACATGTTATTGGAAGAAGCTGGCTTGCAAGAGAAGAAATATATATATGTAGGGTTCTGCCGCTCAATGAGTTTGTGCGCTGTGCATATAGATATCTGATATCTACACATATCTGCAAGATATATGTGTTTACTCGGGTATAATTACATACATGCCAGCATGTAGTGGGGTAGACTGGGAGAGAGAATGCAATGCCGTGTAGGTTAACTACAATATGAGGTTCGTTCTGTTGTGCCCTTTTTCTAAATTTTTGTCCTTCCCTTTTTGCTGTTTTTGCTGGATGAGACTGGTTTTGTTAGTCCTTGCACTAGATTGTGCGCGCCAGTTTATTTTTTATTTTTGTTCTTTTTCCAAATCCAAAACAGATTTTGTCTTGAGGTTATATCAGTTTTGAATGTGCTCTTCTTTGTTATTATTGGCTTATTTTAATCTTCTGACCCTAGATCTCGTTCTTTGGTTTGAGCAGAAAATGGATATGGGCCCCTGTCCAAAGGTTCATTCTTTACAGCTGAGAAAAGAGTATCCTTCTTCATTATTTTTTGGACTGATAGTTCTTTATCTTAATTTTTGACAAAAATGTTGGGATGGCAATAAATTTCGTTTTTAGAACAAGGGGAGAGTTAGCTGGATAATCTTTTTGCTCTAGGATTTGGCGTATTAGAGTCTTGTTAGACACTTTTGAAATCCGTATGTAGATCATTGGCAATATGATCTGTAAATGATTTGTATCTTGGACGTCCTAGATCAAATGTACTTTTTTGACAGAAAATGTGAGTTTTATTAGCAAATCACCTGGGTTGCCACCTGTATGTAATACCTGTTCAGGTCTCTGTAGGAATTATAGTAAACGTTTAATTTTGAGAGGCACGAAAGTCATCAGTTAGCATTTAAAATATGTTTAACCAATTGAAGGTATGGTTTATTTCTTTTTTCTCTACTGTAGTGCTTTAACTCTTTTTAGATATGAAGAAGCCAAGGCAAAAGGTGTTGATAACTATGATAGAGAATTGGAAGATGCTATAGATAGGCTCATTGTTGAGTGTGATAGGAAAATCGGTCGGGCTCTTAAGCGTCTTGAAGATGAGGATGCGAAGGCTGCCATCGCAATATCAGTCTCGGAGGTTACTCAGGTTATGATCTAGTCTTTCTGGGTTTCTTTTTATTTAAAAAACACTGATATTGGCAAAGAGACCAAGGTAGTTTTATGAGACAACATATCTGAAAGATCAGCAACCTCTGATTTGTTATTGGATGACTGTAGGAACTTAAGTGTTCTTCTGAAATTCTTTACTCACTTATCTGCACTATTTGTTTCTATTGCAGACACCTGAAATTCTTGAGTTGTCAAAGCAGATCAAGGAGAAGCTGAAGGAAGCAGATCAACATGGTAATATATATTTGAACTAAATAATTTATTATGGTCCTGCTGATATGGTTGTTAGAGAAGGCTTCTTTTTCGAGTTAAGGCAGATTCCCCACATTGATATAGCTTTAGAAGCTTCTCCTTTTTGAACTTTTTTAATGCATGTAAGACTATTTTTTCTTTGTTTTAAAAGAAGAAAGATAGTGTTTTTAATGTTGGGAATGTTCTGCAGTTTGCTGGTAGTTGCTTTTTCTTTATTTTGTCTTAGAATTTGTGGGATCATTTTTCACTTGGTTTAATACTTTTCATGATTATACGTTAAATAGGTGCTTGAATGCTGATATGCGTTTTGGAACAAATCCGTTATCTTCTTGAATTTGCAGATCTTGAAGGCAAGACTGACCTAAAGATTCGAGCTCTGGAGGTAGTTGAAGAACTAAGGACAAAACGAGCTGATAAACAGGTGCATTCTACTTTCTTTTAACATGTAGTTTACCATGTCATCATGGAGATGATCATCTACTTTTTATATCAGATTTCCAGTTGCATAATAACAGGCTTCTGTTTGTTGTCATAGTCCATACTACTTTTGGATGCATTCAACAAAGATAGAGCATCTTTGCCTCAGCCACTTCAAAATCCACCTGCTCTTGCACCTTTGCCAATACCTGCACCTGATCCTCGTACACAAGAAATGATCAATGAGAAGCTAAAGAAGGCAGAGGATCTTGGTAAGATAAACTTTCTTGTGATTTGCTTATTACTTTGAGAATTCTAAATCCACAGAGCTTTTTTCTTTTTTTTTTTTTGAAATAAAAGTGTGAAATAATATATACGCCAAGTGGGCGCTATCCATATACAAAAAATTTACATGTCTATGAGGATATTTACAATGTAGCAAAAGTAATCCAAACTATCAATATTACGCCCCAAAAAGGTGAAACCATCTATCCTTGATAGTGACAAAATCAGTTTTTTTCTTTTAATAGGTATACTGGTCTCATGTTATAAACCTGCTTCTCATGCTAGCCATTTTGGTGTATTGAATATGGTGGTAGTCATCTTCAGACCATTACCTGCATGGGCTTTCATTCTTGTTATGCTTTCTTAAACCATCGGAAATTTGTTAGTGTCTTAATTATTTTCTGGAACCCATCTGGATGGACAAATTTTAGGTTTCACCTTGTTTTGACCCTATGCTGTTCTGGAACTAATTAATTTGTCATTCTCAAACTTTACATTTCTCAGGTGAGCAGGGAATGATAGATGAGGCACAGAAGGCATTGGAAGAGGCTGAAGCACTGAAGAAGGTTCTTTTAATATTTTTATTTGTATTTGTGTTTGTCAACAACTTTTTTGTGAATCCTTGATGTTTGCTTCTCGTACTGTTTTTAAACCTTTTACTTGTGGATAACAGTATGCTAATTTTTGTTTCAATTCAGCTGCCTGCCAGGCAGGAACCTGTTCTGGATTCGTCCAAGTACACTGCTGCTGATGTTCGAATTGTAAGTTGTTAATTTTAAGTCAAGAGGAGAGATTTAAAGCTTAGTAGACAATGGTGTGAGCTATGTGGAAGATATTTATATATATAAAACTGAGGTAGAACTAGTCTAGTATTTTGTGTGTTACTATTGTTTCTTGAAAGAAGAGTGGGAAAAGTTGATCCAAAAGCCTGTTTTATATGTAATCATGAACAGTCAGTACCCATGATTGACTAAGCGCTAAAATTTGATTCCTTATATATGGTGTATTTCAATGATTTCTTTTGCACGGTTTACCGTGATCTAAGAGAACACATGTTTGCAATGCTGCCTTTTCCTTTTGCTTTTTTTGTTACTTTTGAGGATTTTCAAACAAGTAATTCTTGAAGAATAAATGCTGGTACATGCTGTGTTGGAAGTTTTTAACTGGAAAAGGATAAACATGATATATTCTCTAGTTAAAATGTCTCCCAATTTAAAATTCATCTTAAGAACTTAGGGATCTTGCTCCCATGAGGTGGCCTCATCTGTCTTGATTGAGTACTTGATGAACAGTAAACCCGTTTGTTTTTGGTTGGATTCTGTAATGCGAACAAAAAGTTGTGTTTACCATGGACTGGTTCTTGTGGGGCTAAGACATTATTTGCTACCAGGCAGGGATTGGCTCAATGTGGCTTTGCCTTAGGTGGGCCTAGGTTATCAAAAAGAACAAAAAGCGAAGTCAGGGATTTTATGCTCTGACGTGAACATGCTTGTTTTGCTGCTATAACTTCTTGATATCATCACATACTTCTTTTTCGTTTTCCTCATTTATTTGCTTTCCAGAGCTGATGATTATAAATTAATCCCAATGTTGTTTCAGACTGATCAGAAGCTACGTGTTTGTGACATTTGTGGAGCATTTTTGAGCGTCTACGACAGGTGCAGTCTTGGTCTTGTCCTTTATAATATGGTTTTATTGCTTCTTATCTTTACTAAGGGCAACATGGAAATAAATGCTTGGGGTTTCAAGTGCTTCAGCTTTTGACCCGACTATTATACCTCCTTGTCACCAGCAGGCTTTTGGGCCCAGTTTTACGAGGATAACTTTTGCAGCTAAAGAATGTGCGTCTTTTTCTGTTTTATAATGCTTGAAAAAATCATGCTATTGTTGAAGATTATGGGGCTATTATGCTGTACATCTGTTTATTTAACAGGATTATGGAAATTCTGAATGAAGCATTTAAGTTTTTTTTTCTTGCTTTCAGTGATCGTCGCTTAGCAGATCATTTTGGAGGGAAGTTGCATTTAGGCTATATGCAAATTCGGGACAAATTAGCTGAACTTCAGGTAGCTATTTTGTTTAAAGTTAATTGTGGTCATCTTCTTGATTCAATTTCTATTTTGGTCAGTGTGCTTGAATGAAATGCTAAGGAGGTGTTCTGGGATTAATATAAGTACTAAAAACTTCTTTTCATCTTCTTGAAGTAATTTCTAACAGATTTTCGTTTATAATTAATCAAATTTGCATGTTGGATCTTTTTGCTTATCTTTCTTTATGAGAAAAGGGGAAGGCTTAATTAATACCGTTGGTCTTAGGGTTGAATGTTTATTTCCCCTTGTTTTTGGTATGTCCTTAAAGTGGTCTTGTGGATATGTTGGTTCAGGTGCTGGTATAATGTTTCACTTTCTTCTATAGAGATTCTCGTTAGTGTACCCTCTGTGAGTTTTCTAACCTCAGAGACATAATTTTGTTGCATATCTTCTTGAGTGATTTTGACAGACACCAGACTTTGCATCACAGATGATTCACCAAAAAGTCATGTCTGTAATTGACACATTAGTTGCAGATATGTTTGATTTATGCTCTTATGTACATCTGCAACCAATTAGCGTTTTTTGCAAAATCAAATCATGCAGTTGTGGCTTTGAAAGGTTTATATGCATATACGTTCAGAGCGCCAAACTATGTGAAAAATAACTATGCACAATCTAAAAGCTATTATGTGAAGGAGCTTGTGTGCAGGAAAAGGATGTCGTGGGAATTGGACGTATTTCCTGAAGAAGCCATTATTCTTCTTTTTAGGATTTTCATTCTGGTTTTACATAAAAAAGGATTTTCTTTCTGTTTGTCTGTACCTTATCCAGTGGTACTGTCACCTCTAGTTATGTTAGTATTTTGCTGACATATTTATCATTGATATTTGATAGGGAAACTCTTTCAAATGGTCAATGGCTAGGAATATAGAATATCTTAAATCACAAGTAGTTTTTAATCATCTGTTGGCCTGTGGCCTGTAGCCTTCGCACAAGGCTTTAAGTTAATGACCATGTGCTGAAAATCAACAAATGTGAGTATGCTTTTGCTAGTTTGTTAAAAGAGTGGTGCTTAATTATGGAAGTTCTGCCTTTCCAAAATTTCTGTATTACCTCAAGTGATATGCTTGAATTTGGTCAGAAAGAATAGCATAGTTATTTTCTGAGTTTTAAACCATAAATTAAATAAAATACAAAAAATATGGTTCTTAAATCTCCTTGTATTTTCTTACCTGACTTTACTGTTTTGTGTGTGCTACATTTGCCATATGCTTTTGGGCTGGGTTGTTTTTATATCACTTGGTGTCTCCAATTTTTGTATTGTGGAGAAGGTGCATTAATAATGAGAATTTGGGAGGCTCACTGGGTAAATGGTTTCTTTAGTCCTAAATAAGTTTCCTATTCCTTATGGCAAAGGGGCTCAACTGAGATGGTGTTTCTGTTGTTTGAAATATGGGTTTTAGTAGCACTCTTGTTGGCAATTATTTTTCAGGAAGAAAAAAACAAAAGTCGCAAGGATCGATATGACGACAGAAGGTAATCTCTCATTTTATTTTCCCTAGCTGAAATGAAAATGTTACTCTTTAAATTTCTTTGTAATATTATTCTTGGTAAATGTTTTTTATGTGTAGATCGAAGGAAAGGAAAAGCAAGGATCGGGACAGGGAATCTAGTAGGGATAGAGAACGTGGAGAAAGCCGTGACCAGGTAAGGGACTATGATCGCAGGAGCAGAGATCGTGACAGGTATTATGATCGAGATCGTGGTTATGATCGAGAACGTGATAGGGATTCGGATCGTTCTCGCAGTTATGATTCAAGAAGTCGGCGTAGGTCACGCTCCCGTTCTAGGGAGCGTTCAAGGGACTATGATCGCCACAGGTACGTGCTTCATGTTTCGATATATATGTAGCACTAAAACCTTGTTGATGTGTAAGATTGATTCTGTAATATCATTCTTTAGATGAGTAATCATGCTGCTAAGGTTTCACTTTCTATTGAGCATGAAGTAGATCTTGTCAGTGTCAGTTATGGCTCACACTATGATCTTGATCAAACTCAATCGTTTTCCCGAAATAAAATCCTATCAAGTTGTCCGTACGTTTTTTTTTTTTAAATAAGATAAAACTAAGAACATTAATGCCAGTTTTCTAATAAAAAATTTCTTTAGTTGCTATAAAGATTAATTTCATGATCAAGGAGGGAGATTTTGGCTTTTTCTTAGCTGGCATGCATTATATTTGATCAGCTGAATATTTATTGACTGGATTTGTTGAGTGGCAGTGTATCAAATTTAGAAAACATTAGCAAGGCAAGAGAAATATCATTACCTAAAAGAAGAGTAAGGGCAGGTATTCTCAAATCTAAAGGTTAAGTGCGGGATTCTAGAATAGGAAAGTAACAATGATATGGGATTACATGTAATTCTATGTTTGGTTGACTCCTTAAGTAATGAGGATTCAGTTATTCAATAACCAGATCCTCCAAGATTTCCTCTCAAACTCTATCCTTATCTTTCTGAATTAAGGATAGAAAGTCAGGGTTTCTTGGGGTAATCCTGCTCCTACATATATCTGTGTTTTTCTTCATCATTTAATAATACTTGTGGGAAACGATTTTGGAAAATTACATGGTGTTGAAGCAAGGCACTCCAGAAAATTGCCTTCTTTGAAACCCAAACCAAATTTCATGACCAAGTACGGCATGAACACCTCATCGTCCAAGGTAACCTCAAATCCTGAAGGAGTAACAATCAGGAATAATCATGGAGGATCAGGAGGACTATCTTCCCTTATCACAAGCCATAAAGTTAACGGCCACAACTACCTTCAATGGTCGCAATTTGTGATGATGTACATTGGCGGAAAAGGTAAAGATGCATATGTTACAGGCAAAGTAACAGTTCCAAACAAAGTTGTACCAACTTCAGGGTCTAGAAAACTGGGATTCACAGGGTCATGACATGGCTAATCAAGTCCATGAAAAATGAGGTAGGAGAAAACTTTCTCGTATTTGGGACACCAAAGGAAATATGGGTAGCTGCCAAAGAAACTTATTCAAGTTCTAAAATACTTTAGAATTATTTGAAACAGAAGCCAAACTACATGGTGTCCAAGCGATCTCACTGTTACCCAGTACTTCTACACTCTTAGCCGATACTGGCAACAACTAGACATGTTCGAGACTCATGCTTTGAAGTGTCCTAAAAAACAAACTTGTACAAGAAGATGGTAGAGAAAAAGAGGATCTTTAAGTTCTTACTTGGTCTCAGCAAGAACTGAGATGAAGTGAGAGGAAGAGGTGATGGGAACTAAGTTTCTTCCAAGTCTTGGAAAACATTTAGTTCGTCGAGAAGAGAGTAGAACAAATGTAATGATGGGAACTCAAGTTCCACACATGCGTTGGAGGGATCAACCTTGGTGACCCGGGGATCCACCCAAATCACTCCAATGAAAACCATGATCATGGTAGAAAACCAGGATACTCGAGAGAAAACTACTAGAAAATTCATAGTAAACCCATTGATTGGAAGCATACACACAGCGACAAAGATAATTGGGCCCATGCTGCCCCACAGAAGAAAAAACATCCCTGAAGAAAGTCCCTTTTGTAAAGAGCAGCTAGAGGTGCTCTAGAAGCTCCTAAGTCAGAACACTCTCCATCAGTTTCCTGCTCCCTGTCTCGGACTAGATTGATAGCCTAGAAAGGTAACAATTCCACTGCCTTGTTTGTTAATACAAAACACGCAAGTACTTGGATTGTAGATTCTAGTGCTTCAGATCACATGACTGGAGATGTTAAATTATTCCATCAATACAGACCTAGCAAGGAAAACTACCATGTTCAAACTACAATGTTCAAATTCCTGATGGTTCCTTCTCCAAAATTGAAGGTCTCGGGACAGTGAGAATTACCAAGCACGTGACTCTAAACTCAGTTTTATATGTTCCCAATTTGGATTATAATCTTGTTTCATTAGTAAATTGACTAGTGATCACAACTTTGAAGCTAAATTCTTTCATTTCACATGTGAATTTCAAGAATTGGAATCGGGGAAGAAGATTGGTAGTGCTAAGATGTGTTCTGGAATCTACCTCCTCAAGGAAGGTCTTTCTCTTCGAAACCAGACCCAAAATGCTGGTATGTCTTGTAAGCGGTTGTTATCTTTCTAATAAAGATGTGAGGTTATTACCTTTCTAATAAAGATGTGAGGTTATGTTGTGGCACTATTGACTAGGTCATCCAATTTTACATACCTTGAAAATTGTGACCATCCTTATTCATTGATAAAAGTTCAAAGCTTTTCAATTGTGAAGTGTGCCAACTCTCCAAACATACACGTAGAAGTTATCCTAGTCTCACATACGAACCTTCTCACCCTTTTGCCTTAATTCACGATGATGTGCGGGTTCTTCAAGAGTGAAAAACATAACAGGTTCAAGGTAGTTGTATCATTATTTAATTTTTTTTTTTTTGAAATAAAAATGTGAATTGTATATTGATAGGTACCAAAAGGAATGATGCCCATGTACAAAAATTTACAAGTTAATTAAAGTATAAAAAAGGTTCTCTAAATCTGCCCTAGTATATAGAGAATGACCATTAATAAAAAATCGAGGGTCTGGAACCATCTATACTTAGAATATCAATTTCATCAACATTTTCAACCCATCAAAAACCTTTCTATTCGTTTCCTTCGACACCACCCAAAAGATAGTAAGCGAAATAATCTCCACTTTTTTTCTGCAACCACTAATGCGCTTCCAAGCCCACAACCTCTTCCCTCACCAGACCTGCCATCACTCAATTAATACCAAGCAACCCATAAATCATAATCCACAGCTTATAAACCACAGGACACCATAGCAAAAGATGATTGCAAGTCTCTTCCGTCCTCGTACGCAAATAACAAGGATTGACCCGTACCTTTCCCTTTTCCCCAAATTGTCAATTATCAGACAACGTTCCCTGGTGGCCTCCCAAGTAAAAGACGGAACTCGGGGATGGACTGTTGTGTTCCACATTTGTATCATTTATTGATGATCATAATAGGTTAACATAGGTATTTCTTATGAAAGAAAAAACTAAGGTTGGCCAAATCTTCCAAAACTTCAATAGTATGATACAAACTCAATTCCATAGCAAGATTCAAGCTCTCAAAACTAATAATGCCAAAGAATATTTCAAAATCTGTCCTTGGCGCCTATCTCCCTAATCAAGCATAATTTACATAAGGTCATGTGTTGACACTCTGCTACTAAACAGAGTTATTGAAAGAAAAAACAGGCACCTCTTAGAGGTAGCCCAATCTCTCATGTTGTTCTCCTATGTTCCAAAACATTTTTAGGGAGAAGCAGTTCTTATAACCACATATCTCATCAGTTGAATGCCCTCAAGAAGTTTACAATTCGAAACTCCATGTCACACCATTCTCAAAGTCTTCCCACATACCAAGATTGTGTCCACATTGAATCCAAAAGTATTTGGGTGTTCCACATTTGTCCATATACAGTCCTAGCACTGTAGGAAATTAGACCTAAAATCCATTAAATGCATAATCTTGGATTACTCTCCAAACCGAAAATGCTACAAATGTTATCCTCTAATCACCAGAAAATTCTGTACTTTAATGGACGTGACATTCTTTGAAAATCAGCCATGTTACCCAAACCTGAAATTCAGGGGGAGAAAATTGGAGAATATCAGCTTTGGGATAATGACCAACAGTCAAGGGACTCTATATGGTTGCCATTACCTAAACCAAACTCAATACCGATTCCCAGCCACCTCCACCATGCAAACTACAACCTGGAACCACTGATCATACAAAAAACCAACAGCAAACTCAATCTCTTGATGATCGCCTGATCCCATCTTACCCAAGAGTCAAATGTAGACAAACACCTGTCCCTCACCTCAATCATGGATGACAACCAAAACCTTAACGAGGAACTGATTGTCTACAATTGGAGAAGGAAAACTGAAAGGGAGGTAGGGCACTCAACACACTTGATGATCAAGAATTTGGACCTCCACCAATTCGCACCCAAGATCACACCGACAAGGAAATTTCTGGTCTTGACTCTACATCTAGAATGGATGACTTAAATATTCTAATTGCTCTAAGAAAAGGAGTAAGAACTTCCACAAACTACCCAATCTGCATGTATATTTCTTATAAAGGATTGTCTCCATCCTAGAAGCTTTTGTATGTACCATTGACGATGAGTAGATTCCTAATTCCATCTAGCAGGCACTCAAGAATCTTGAATGGAAATAAGCAATTAGAGATGAAATTAGAGCACTTGAGAAGAATGACACATGGGTGATTTCTGATCTTCTCCTGGAAAGAAAACTGTTGCCTGTAAGTGGACTTTTACTATTAGCATAAGGCAGATGGAAGCATTGAGAGACTACAAGCCAGACTTGTTGAAAGAGATTTACTGTATCATATAGAATAAATTGTAAGGAAACCTTTGGTTTAGTGGCTAAACTCAACACTATAGTGGCCAGGTAACAACTTGATCTCAAAAATGCTTTTCTGAATGGAGATCTTGAGGAAAAGGTGTACATGAACATTGCTCGAGGACTTGAAGCAAACCTCAACATCAACGAGGTCTGCAAACTGAAAAAATCTCTTTATGACCTAAAACAGTTCCCATGGGCCTGGTTTGGGAGGTTTACAAAGTCCATGAGAAAAATTGGGTATGCTCAATATCAAGCTGACCATACTCTCTTTGCGAAACGATCCTTATAAAAGAACATTGCTTTTCTCACTGTGTATTTTGACGACATCAGTCACGGGCAATTATGAAGAGGAACTGTTGAAGCTCTAAAAATTTCTGGCCATGGAATTTGAAATAAAAGACCTTAGCAATCTTAAATTCTTTCTAGGCATGGAGGTGTGAAGATCAGAGAAGAGTTTATTCATCTCACAATGCAAATACATCCTGGACTTACTGAAGGAAACTAGAAGGCTAGGTTGTAAGCTTGTAGATACCCCAATGGACCCTATTACAAGGATAGGAAATAAGAAGGGAAGTAAGCCAATGGACAGGGGGAGCTATCAGACACTTATTGGTAGACTCATCTATTTATCCCACACCAGACAGATGTTAGGTTCTCAATTAGTGATGTCAGCCAATTCATGCATGACCCAACTAAGGAACGCATGGAGGCTGTGTACAAGATTTTGAGGTACCTCAAGATGACTCCAGGAAGAGGATTACTTTACAAGAAGCAAGTTACCTGGGACATATTTGTTTTCTGTGGTGTAGACTAGGCAGGAGATGTGAAGGATAAAAGATCCACTTTGGGTAATGTTCCTATGTCTAGAGGTACTTAGTTACATGAAGAAGCAAAAAACAACCTGTTGTTTCGAGAAGCAGTGCTGAAGCTGAATTTAGAGCATTCACATTGGGAATTTGTTAAGGTATGTGGATAAAGAGACTCCTTGGTGCATTGGAGATAATTATTAAGACACCTATCAGCCTATACTATGGCAACCAGACTGCCATTAGTATAACAAAGAATCCTGTGCATCATGACCAAACAAAGCAAATAGAAATTGACGCCACTTCATTTAAGAGAAAATTGAAAATCCTGTAGTTCAAGTGATCTGCATGCCTGCAAAATCACAGACTGCTAATATCCTCACTAAAGCCCTTCCAGTAACCACCTCTGAAGAACTCTGTAGCAAGCTATGTTTGTTCAATATTTGCAACCCAGGTTGAGGGAGAGTGTAGGATTCTAGAATCGGAAGGTTATATGAGATTCCTTGTAATTCTAGATTTAGTTGACTCCTTAAATAATGAGGATTTGGTTATTCAATAACCAGATCCTCCTAGATTCCTCCCAAACTCTACCTTATCTTTCCGAATTAAGGATAGAAAGTTAGGATTTGTTGGTGTAATCCTACTCCTATATATTGCTGTATTTTTCTTCATCATAATAATAATACTTCTGAGAAATAATCCCTCAGAGAATTACAGGAAATTTAACAAGGCAAGAGAAATGCCATTTCCTAAAAGAAGAGTAAGTGAAGGTATTCTCAAATCTAAAAGGTTTGGTAAATTTTCTTACAAAATGAGATTTGATTTTATTGTCAATTGATTAATCTAAAGTGCCAGCTTTTTTTCCTCTGGAAAGAGATTTTGAATGTTTCAATTTCAGTTATATATATATATATATATGAGTAAAAGAAGTTGGACCCTTATTTAAATGTGTGTATTGAACTCAGGATCTTGGCCCCTAGCTTGGGGAACAATGACCACCGCTAGGGCCAAGGCCAGTGGAACTTAATATTAGCAGTAAGAGTTCTTTGCAATTTGGCTCCTTCAGATCGTAATCCCTCAGGTGATGGGCCCAACAAGATTTTTAAAGCTTGGGGATAAGCTAGATAGAGTTACATGGACCTTATTCTTATGGTGGACTGTGTTCTCATCAATGATATATAATTCATTGCATATTTAATGAAATTACTAAGATCAATGCTATCTAATTACTGGTTTCATGATGCATGTAATGAGAACCTTTTTTAAATGCTTATAATGTAATTTACTTAATTTCTTTCAGGCGGTATGATCGATATTAGATCTTTGTGGATGGACTGCCAGATGGATTTTGGGATCCTTGTTCTTGTCTAGGTAACTCATTCAGGGAGGTTATAATATTTGGTGTGTTTGTACTCGTAATCTTAGTGGAGATTGACAGTTGCAACTGTTGTGGGTATAACTTAAAGATTTTCATTACGCCTGTCTTGAAGAGGGATGCATACAGTATCTTTATGCCTCTTATGATATTTAGTTATGCTTGGTTTGTGTCATTCAAAGCTCAAAGTTTTTTTACTCTCTTAAGAAAGCAAGCCAAAACACCGACCCATGAAACCAAACCTTATAACCGATTGGAATGAGGAAAAAATAGAGGAACAAGTTTGAGGTGGGGCTGGGCGGGGCGGGGCAGGGCAGGGCAGGGCGTGGATTTGGTTGTTGGAACAAGTTTGAGGAGGAACAGTTTCTGTACTTATTATTCAAAGTTGATTAATGTTATGTATGATCATTCGCCATTTTTTGGCTGGTCCGTTCTCAAGTTTCCTGTTATTCTAAATGTCTTTTTCTTCATTTAAAAGAAAAGAAAAAAATTGAAGAAGATACAGGCATAATTGGTTTAAAATCTTTAGCATGCGGAGAGGATACAAAGTAAATAATAGGGGGCAAAGCAAGTTTAGAGACTTGTGTGTATTTACTGACGCTTATGGTTTACTTCATCAAGTTTAATCAAAAGGATATACCAAACATATAATAGTAATGTAATTATAGAAATATAATTGAGATTTAAATTTAACATATCTGAAAATATATGGTGATAATATGATTGGGTGTTCAAAATTTTTGAACTGAAGATGTTTCATTTATTTGTTTTTTGTATATATATATATTTTTTAAATTAAATGCTAATAAATTAAATTATCTGTTTTAGAAGTAGTCTGATTGAGTTGAGCTGGTACTTTTAAAACAGCATATGGAAACTTCCGAGTGTCAAGGCAGCTAAATTGCACCCCGGGCGTGAGGATTCGCGGGGTAAATTGATACTCACTCGTGTGATATTATCAGTGAGTTGTCTTGAAAGAAATGAATTGAGTTTTCTCACCTTTTTACACTAAACAACATATGGAAGCATGAAAGTTTAGTTTTATGTAAATTTTAAGTTTTATTTGTTGAAATCCGCATAATGCATTTTATATTTTATAATGAATATAAAGAGGTAAATTTTAATTTTTTTAAAGAAGCCATTTGGTCCATAAAACTAGTTAGAAATGATAATAGGAAATAGTTATAAAATTAATCAATCATACAAAAACCAGAACCAGCATAAAAATGAATTAATAAGAAAAAAACCTCAGAAGCATAAAACAACATTAACAGGTGAAGGAAAAAAATAATTGATATTTATACGGGGAAAGCAAAACAAATCACATAAATTATTGATGTTTATACTGGAAAGCAAATTAAGTATAACCAAGTACCGATATTAAGAACACGCGTCATGTCTAGATTAGTCGTTAATCGAGGACATAGATTAAGAAAAACCTCCTCTGCAATTTGCTGAAATAGCCCCACAAAGATAAGTGGGTATCAAATCCAATCCAATCCAAAGAATGCCCTTTTGCCATTCTCACTAAATACAATATTGAACGTTTGCCTACCAGACACGACTCCCTTATGGTAGATGAGTTTCATATAATCAAATGAGCATAAGGAGAGCTCATCTTATAGAACTTACTAATCCTAATCTCACTTACGTGCTCTTATCAACGATAACACAGATAAATCTAACATACGCGTTTGATATTTGTTTATCCAACACTTGGTGTCACTGCCAAGATTTGGATAAAATAATTATTTATCTTATTTTCATTATCGTAGTAAAGTGAACAACTAGTTTTCTTAGATGCATATCAAACTCATGCTCATCTATAAGGAAATTGATAAACATAAGATAATTCACTTCTTCTGTGAAGTCATAACCACAATGACACAAACACCCAATTGAGCAATCACAATTTCAGCTTGAATTTGTTGCCCTAAACTGGTAGGTAGGGTGTCATGGCAGCTCCCATGGTCACCAAGGTTTCCTGCAGGCAATTTGTTTACAGTGGAATCTTGAATGGGCCTCATGGTTGCAGGGTGTTTGCCTTGTTGGTAGCTATAATACTCACAGGAATAAAAGCACCTTCCTTCTTGAGATATGGTGATTGGATTAGCTTATATTTCATCGTTTTTTATCCTCTTATTCTCTTTTCCAATCCTATTTAAGATGAAAGAAAATTTCAGAGATGACAGCCACAAAGTCAATAGTGAAGGATGAATAAGGACAACTTATCAGCTCTGTCAAGTTTAGGTAGTAGAAATCTTACTGTCTTTGTTCAGCATAATACTTGAAGGGGCTCGATTGTTGGAGCACATGACAGTTGAAGTAATTCATACTCATTTAAGTGGCTCATTGTTATCGACCTTTTTCTAATAACAACTAGTATGGAGGCACGTCGCCTTTTAAGGGCCTTGATAATTTTTGGGATTGGAGCTTGCTAGGCCTGAAGCAATTTCCTCGAGGCTGTGGTGGTCAAATTTCCTAGAGATTAACTTGGGCTGAAAATATGGCAGGCATTTGTGTGGTAACCTCCATTGGGAATTGACAGTACACACGCTGCAGTTAGTTCAGTTTCTATTATATTTTCACCTAACTCCTGAACTTTAATATTAGTTTGGATATGTAAAAATAAAAGATAACTTCTATTCAAATTTCACATATATCTCCTTCTTGGAGACAGAAATTCAACTCCCTAAAAAATTTGAAACAAAGAAGAAATATTCTTCACCAGAAGCAACAACTACACCAACAAAATATATAAGTGCCTCCAATATGTAATGTGGCTACTTCAATCTAGAACGTGGGAGGGGTATCAGAAGTCAGTTTCCAAGTCCACGATAGAGGGGCTATATTGTTATGACTTCTAGGTGCAAATGACAAAATGATTTAAGTAAATCTGATACCAATGACTTCAATGACAGTGCTGCTAGCATTGGCAGAGAAGATCAGTTACAACTTTGATTTTGATTCAACAATGATATACTTAAAAGCAGAGGTCTTGATCGGTGATATGAGAAAAAAAGGATTGCAAGGCTTTCACCTATCAAAGCTGTGAGTTTCTGTCCTTATAATCATCATAAGCAAAATATCTCCAAAATATCTCTAGTGTTCTTTGCAGCCAATTACTCTTAAACTCCCAACTTTTCACAGAAACATCAAAATTTATCTTATCTACACGTGAGAGATTTGAGCAGTAGCAGCTGTTAAGGAGAGAAAGGGTAACTAACCAATTAGAACTCTTAAACATAGTACTTGTCTTGAGAAGAAGGATCTGAATGGTATGATCTTTGCCAAAAACTCCATTTATATCCCACCAAATAAGCTAGGTTATGATCAAAGCTTTCGCGTCCTTTTGGGAAATTTTTGGAAAATCGTGTAAGTGAAACTCAGATTCTTAGCACAGCTAACATCAATGTAAAGAGGAAAAAAGCAGTATACATACTGACTGGCAATAACCGCTGTCACTCAACATATGCTCAATTATTTTGTTGGGCATTTTGGCAGCGAGTGCAGTAAACATATACCAGGGAAATGTTTAAGGCAACACGGGAACTGACTTGAAGGATTTGTTGTTGATTTGATACACCAAATGAGACTAGCATTACCTGCAGTATTTACAGTCTAGCTTCTTCCTTTGAATCAATTTATTCCATGTATATAGGACCTAATTGTTTAATCCCCATCTCAAGTAAATCTCCATACCAGCCCACCATGAGGCATTCTAATACTCTAGAGATTTATTTAAGGTCTTGTCCTGTCTCATGTAGATATTTCTTCATCATACCAAAATTTAGAAACCACAATTTCAGGATCCTAACGGACGGAGTAGCAACTGGTAAAAAAGTCAAAAGATTTAAATACCCCATTTCCAAAAGAAATATCATTTCAACTTTCCTCCAAACGTTTATTCTTCATTTTAATATACAAGCTCTACTTGGATTGGAATTCAAAACCCTCTAATTTGATAGCATCTAAACTTAGAAAAGAAAAAAAAATCAAATGCAGAAATTGAATAAAGTTACTAAGCAAATTAACCCAGATAACAGACAAAATTCATATTCATATTTCAAAAAAATAAAGGAGAAAACACCACCTACACTTGCCTACCAGCAGCATCGGCGACGAACGGCAAATACGGGGTTCTACCAAGTATGCAACTAACAACCCCGTAAACAAAACAAATACAACTAAACAAAAACACCACATTATGACCCCATATCATCAAGCTGTATCCTAACCCTCCCCGACCCGGACTCAATATCCGAGTCAACAACAAAGGTACCACCAAGAGCACATCCAAAGTCACCGCCTGCATTGAATTGAATCTCACATAGTGACTGAAACTAGGGTTCCTTACCACGCCCAAATACAAAGCGAAGAACGCCACGAAGCTCGCGTAGGGGACCGATTTGTACAGGCTCAAGAGAGGGAGCAGCGGATCGAAGATGACTCCAAGCTTCGGGTATTGCATAAAGAGGTAACGACCATACTGTAAAGAATTGAAGAATGGGAGAGTGTAAGCGGCCGCCGAGATTAACCGCTCCGTCGCCGGCGTGGGGTTGTATGACATGCGAGTCACAGTGGGTTTTTGTAACTGCTGGATCCTGACCGTTGATTTCAGGAGAGAGGGTGACGGTAAGATCAGATTGGAGATGGGTTTTGCTCTTAGGGGCTTCATGGTTGGGTGCAGAGAGAGACAGAGAGCAGCCATTTTCGACCGAGACTTCGACAGGAGAAAGGAGTGTTTTGTGTAGGATTTTGTGAACTTCGTACAGAGAAGGAAGTCCAGGCTACTGGCAATGACACGGACTGTAATACGGCACCGTTTTAATTGAGATTACTTGTAAATATAGGGTCACAGATGCAATTACGTATAAGTGCAGTAATTAACTGAAAGTTAGACACAGGTTTTAGGTAATAGATGATTTTTCTCCAAATTCTCAATCTAGATTTTTCTTTCTTCTCTCTACATGGATTTCCTGCACTCTGAATTCAGATTCTATTAGCTTATTACAAAATTTAATATGGTATCAGAGCTACAGTTGAAGGTTATTTGGATTTTGTTGCTCAAAGCTTGAGCATTTTGTTGAGTTCTTCTCAGTTTGATCCTTATCCAGAATCTCGACGATTCTATCAGCAGTCATGGATGCTTCGACAGTTTCAGATGCTTCAAAGATGGATGAGGTTCATGCAAATCCGTTCTACCTTCGTCTGAACAAAAACCCATCACTCATGCTTACTTCATTGGTGCCGACAAAGAGGGATTATAATATAACTGGTACTCAGGTTACGGTTAATTCTCAATGCAGTGTGTCTGAGGAATTGCCTGTTTCTTTCACCAGAGATCAATATCATAAAATTTTGGCTCTATTTCAGCCTCCAACATCTGTAAACAATTCAGATACCTTACCTCAAATTAATACACTCCCTTCTAACCTTCAAGTCACAAAATTACGAGGTATTACTGTTTCTTTACCTTTTTATATTGCAAAAGATGAGTGGATTATAGATTCAGGAGCTACAGACCATATGGTTGGTTCAATTAATATGTTTACTTTGTGTAGTCAGTAGATAATCTGTTCATAAAATTGCCAAATTCACAGACAATCCCAGTTACTCATGTAGGAGATGTTCATATAACACCTGCTCTTGTTCTTCACAATGCCTTATATGCTCCTAATTTTGCACTCGATCTAATATCCATTAGTTGCCTACTAAAAAACTCTTGTTATTTCCGTAACCTTTCAGAATAGTTGTTGTGTAATCCATGATATTCATAGCCAGAAGAGGATTGATATAACTAGAGAAAAGCAGGGGTTTTATTATCTTGAAGCTGTAAGGAAGAAAGATATAAAGTCTGTAAATTCTGGTGTTAAATCTTCCCTGGTAAACTCTGGTGTTGAATCTGGTTGTTCCCTTGTAAATTCAAATTCTTCTGGTTGTACTCAAGTTGTGGATAAACAAAATCTTTGGCACTTTCGTCTTGGCCATTCTTCTATGCCAGACTACAAGTTCTTCATCAAACACATAAATCAATTATACCTAGCTCTTCTTTTGTTTGTGACATTTGTCATCTTGCCAAACAAAGATGACCTTCTTTGCCTATTAGCCATTCAGTGAGTAATCATTGCTTTGATATTATACATGTGGACATTTGGGTTCCTATGAGTATTCCCTGTCTATACGGACAGAATTATTTCTTTACTATTATTGATGACAAGAGTTGGTACACTTGGTTGTATCCGATGCAAAATAAAGGAGAAGCAAAAAAAATCGTAATTGATTTTTTTGCATATGTTGATACCCAATTCAGTGCAAAAGTTAAGTGTGTCCATTCTGATAATGGACTGGAATTCAAAATGCCAGAATTCAATGCAAAGAAAGGTGTAGTTCATCAATGTTCCTGTCCATACACACCTCAACAAAATGGTGTGGTGGAGAGGAAACATCAGCACATTCTCAACGTGGCACGATCTTTAAAAATTTAAGCCAATCTTCCACTGAAGTTTTGGGTGGACTGTGTAATTCATGTAGCATACTTAATCAACCTGTTACCTTCTCCGGTCATCAACAAGAAGACTCCCTTTGAAATTCTGTTCAAAACTGTTTCTCAATATCAGGATTTAAAAGTGTTTGGGTACTTATGTTATGTATCCAATCTTTCTCCAACCAGTACTAAATTCGATTGTAAAGCTGTTAAGTGTCTATTCCTTGGATAGCCTTCTCATATTTAAGGGTATAGAGTCTATGATATCCAGTCTCACTAAGTTTTTGTATCCTGAGAAGTCCAATTCATTGAACATATATTTCCCTTTTCTTCTTTGTCCACTACTCCTTCAGCTACAGATTCAAACAATCTTGTACTTCCTTGTGTTGATGATTTAATAACAGATTGCAGTATACAACAGACTTTACAGCATCAAGGTAATATAGATCTCAACTACTCTACTAGATCAACTAATTTTGGTAATTCTCCTTCCTCATCATTTACATATGATAATTCTTTAACTCATACATCTTCTTCTTTGATTGAAAATAGTTCACCAGAAAATTATAATGACTCAACCACAAAATCAGGTAGCTTACTTATTTCACATTCACCACCACTCAGAAGATCTAATCGATCCACAAAGCAACCATCTCATTTACAGGATTGCTACTTATATGGTCTGAAGTCTAGTTCTATATCCATTCCACATTGCCTTTCAAATGTCCTTACTTATGATAATCTTTCCAACACACAAGCCTTTTGTTCTTTCCCTATCCCAAGAAACTGAACCAACCACTTATACTCAAGCTATTAAGATACCTTGCTGGAAAGAGGCAATGGCCACTGAGATTCAAGCATTGGAAGCAAACCAAACCTGGGATCTTGTTCCCTTACCTCCTGATAAGCGGCCCATTGGTTGTAAATGGGTCTACAAGATCAAAAGACATGCATATGGTTCTATTGAAAGATATAAAGCCAGATTGGCTGTAAAGGGATACACCCAGCAACCTGGAATTGATTTTCTTGATACTTTCTCACCTGTTGCAAAGCTGACCACCATCCGGACCTTGTTGGCAGTGGCTGCTGCAAAAGGCTGGCATCTTCATCAGTTGGATATCAATAATGCCTTTTTACATGGCAATTTAAAGGAGGAAGTATATATGAGTCTTCCCCCGGGAGTTCATGGCTCTCAACCCAATCAAGTTTGTAGATTAAAAAAGAGTTTGTATGGTCTTAAACAAGCTAGTCAAGCTAGTCGACAATGGAATTTCAAGCTGACTGAAGCCTTGAAAACTTATGGTTTTGTGCAAGCTCATTCAGATTCCTCACTGTTTTTTAAGCATACGGGTTCTTCTTTTATTATGTAGATGATGTGCTTCTTGCCAGTGATAATTTGGATCAGATTCAATCAGTTAAAATTTTTCTGCATGGTACTTTTAAAATAAAAAATCTTGGTGAAGTGAAATATTTCTTGGGTCTAGAGATCTTGCGTTCTTCTGCATGCATTAATGTTTGTCAACACAAGTATTTTTTGGATTTACTTCGTGATACTGGATTTTTAGGCTGTAAACCAACTTCTACACCCATGGTTCCTTCTACCAAGTTGACGAAACAGGATGGTCCTCATCTTCAGGATGCTTTCTTATACAGGCAGCTCATTGGTAAGCTACTTTATCTTACCAATACTCGACCTGACATTTGTTATTCTGTTCAACAGCTTTCTCAATTTCTAGATGCTCCTACTCAAACACATTTGCAAGCTGCACATCAGATTTTGAGGTATCTTCTTAAAGGTATTCTGGGTCAAGGCATTTTTTATGCGGCTAAGAACTCTTTGCACCTTAAAACTTTCAGTGACTCTGACTAAGCAACTTGTAGTGATTCTCGCAAATCCCTTACTGAACTCTGTGTATTTCTTGATGATTTACTCATTTCTTGGAAGACCAAGAAGCAACAAACAGTTTTTCGATCTTCATCTGAAGCTAAGTATAGATCCTTAGCTATGGTAACCTGTGAGTTGCAGTGGTTGTTTTATTGCTTAATGATTTGCAGATCTCTTCTCCACCTGCGCATTATATTATGATAATCTTTGAGCTATCAAAATTGCCAAAAATTCTGTGTTCTACGAGCGCACCAAACACATTGAAATCGATTGTCATGTTATTCGACAAAAAATTGTCGAAGGTCTTCTGCATTTGCTGCCAGTTAGTTCTTCCTATCATATCAACTTGCAGACTGTTTCACTAAGCCACTTGCTGATACTCAATTTCAACAATCCGCTGTCAAGCTGGGTATACAAAATTTATATACTCCAACTTGAGGGAAGTTATTAGAGTTAATTGAGATTATTTATAAATATAGAGTTACAAATTTAATTATGTATAATTGTAGGGTCTAGTTTGTTATTAGCTGAAAGTTAGACACAGGTTTTACTACATGTATAAATACCATCTGACTGCAGTTAATAATAGATGATTTTTCCCCAAATTCCCAATCTAGATTTTTCTTTCTTCTCTCTGCATCGATTGCCTGCACTCTGAATTTTTTTCTTCTTGAATCAGATTTTATCAGCTTACTACAAAATCTAATACTCGGGAAACTTAAAATTAGCTCCAATGAAGTTTTTATTTTTTACATTTCTTTAAAACTTAATTTTTATACATGTACAGAATATAAGTTAAAAAAATATTTTTAGATTCTTTATAACTACATGAAAATATTAAAAGTAAATCTTACACAAAGTATTATCTTATGTTACAACCATGTTATTAATTTCAATAACATAATTTTCAAATGGTGATGAAGCATCCAAAAACATATTTATGTTAATAGATAAAATTAATTAAAGGATTAATGTAGAGAAAAATAAGAAGTCAAAGACTCGCTATGTTTACTAATAACTCTCGTACCCAAAGTTTTCATGCATGAATTTCACTTTCTACTTTTTGCTACTGCAAAAGATTGAAACTAAAACTTGTTATAACAATGAAACTTATATAAGCTCAAGATCTGAATAATAATAATAACAATAATAATAAAAATAATAATCAAGAAGGAAGTTACAAAATTTTCTTTATGGATTGGATGACAGAACTTATTAATAACAACAGGTTGAACTAAAATAATATCAACAAATAGCAACAACTCTATATACTTAAAAATCGAGATGGATGGAGGATTGAGAAAACTAAAAAATTACATGATTGTAAAATATATGTAAAAAATTAAGAGTGGAGAAAGATCAATAAAATTTGAAAATGGAAGAAATACGGACATGTTCACAAGGAGCAACGTAGTTTAAATATATAAAGCCTATTTGAGAGAAGATCCCAACAATGATAGCCTTTATATTCTATCGCATAACGAAATAAAAACCAAAATTGAGGTTGAGGTTCCGTTTTAATACTCTCATGAGGCTGAAACAAGAGAAAACAAGCAAATACAAAGACTTTGAGTTAAGAGCAAAGTTGCTGAACTGAAAAGATATTATCAAGAATTGGAAGACTGCAAGTGATACTACAGAGAGGCATTCAGGACAAATAGAGCCCAATATGAGTCTAGAAACGTAGATGCCTACGATCAACATGACCAATTTATTAGGATATACTAGGGCATGAATGTTGTATGAGATTGCCTTACTATATAAAAAAAATGAAGAATATTACCTCAGTACTCTATTGCTGGAGGTAATTCAATTGTATGTTTCATAGAATGAATACAAGTGAAGCGAGAACAATTGTCTGTGAATATAACAAAATATTGAGGTTCACTCCCGTGAAGCTGGTTGTTTTGCAAGTTGACAGTGCAAACAATCAAAAGACTTAAATTTAACTACTCATAAGAGGCCACAAGAATCTGAAGAACAAAATTTACCGAGTGATGCATGAGTTAGTTATGTATAGATGTCATTTCATAAAGAGGATGCATGATTGTTGCTCCAAATCCATAGGTGTCATGATGAAATGCAAGACCTCAAATAACTGTCCAAACCTTGTGCCCTATCCCAATAATCTGTCCTCTCTGCAAATTTTGTACCTGTCAACAATTGGCAGAGAAAATTGGGGTAAAAATCTAAGATCACATAAATTGACCAATGAAAATAAGGCTCCAGGCTAAACAAAGAAAAGAATACAAGGTAATTTGATTTTTGGAGAAGAGTCAAATTGCTAAACGAATTACTTTTGAATGAAAAAGCACTTCTGAGAGGAAAACTTGCTCTAGACGAGACTCAAGTAGAAGATTTATTCTCCTTGGATTCTTGAGATGAAGTTCTGCTTGCATAGATCTGATTGCAATAAACTGAGAACTTTTTTTTTTCCTCTATTGCAATACTGAAACAGATCTGATATACAGGCAGGTTAATGAAGTTTCATATAAGTTGATAAACGGCATCGCATGACTAGTTGGACAAGCAAATTTCATGAGAAGTTTTTATTTTTTTCTATTATTCTTTTATTACTGTCGTTGTGGCTGATTCTCAAGAATTTTTGTTGTTTCATTGAAATATTTTGATTAATACTCTAATGGGAAAAAAGGCAAAATCTTAACTTTGGCCTCATTTGAATTATTTTCATTCAATAATTACAAGAAGATCAGGTGCAAGCAACTCAAAAGCAAAAAAGAATATATATATATTTTCTAGTTATGCACAACAAAAGTAACTAAGAAAACTAGAACTGAAACAATAAAATGAATCAAAGAAACTGTCAAAGTAACAACAAAATCAATGAAACGATCACTCTATAAGATTAGGATATAAAGAGAAAGATTATCAAAGGCAAGCCACCCTTCATTATCATACTAAATCCAAATATGTACATTTTTCTGCTGCTTCATGTGAACATTTGTAAAGAAGCAACTAGCAATTTCATTTTCATTTGGAAACTTTTATTCTCATATAAAATTCTGTACTAAATGCAGATTACTATACATATATACTTGTTAACAAAAAAGAAAAGCTCGTTGAAAGAAGATTACAAATTAAAGGCTGCAAACCGACCCCTAGAACTCCTTTGCTCGTCTCCGCAGCTCATTCAACTCCTTCTCAATCTCTAAGTCTTGAAAAGGAAAAGAAGTGTTATTAGCAACAGCAGTTCCCCTAGGAGGAAGCTCTCCCTTCTGCTTCACCAGAAAAGAAAAAGGAGTAGAACCGTTAGACTTGTTAAGAAAATAAATTTGAAACTGCAAATCTTTTTATCAGGCCTGCTTGAAAAGTAGCAGAAGCCTAGATTATACAAGCTCTACCTATTAAACTTAAAATTGCATTTTAACACCTATACATGCATATTAATGTAAAGAAAGTTTTCTGCACAAAAGAAATCTCTAGTTACTATGTGAGGAAGCATGCAGCTAGATACATCAGTAAATGGGTGGCACTCCTTCAGTGCCCTTTCTGTAAAAGTTCTCTTTTCTTCTCAAATAAATAAATAATAATAATAATAAAATTTGGGCCGGATCAAGCTGGAAAGCTAAATGACCAAAGCGGCATGGAATTCAAGTAGACCTAATGTTTTAGGAGCCAATAAACTTTACATTTCTACTCAAAATTTAGAATTCTATGACTTTAAAATCCATGCTCAAATTTTAACATCTAATCTAGAGGCTGTTGTTCAGCGTGATGGTTGTTTAAACCTCAAGAATGGAAGTCAGTTCCGAGTTACATGAGTCATACTCAAATATGTTGTTGACGACCAAGAGACAAATATACCTTTGAGCTCCCAGACAGCTCTTTCTTCAAGCTTGCAAGATCATCATCTACGGAGGAGCTTTCAAGCAGTTGAAACTGTAATAGTGCAAGAAAAGTAAACATCAGGTTCAGGGGTTTTCAAGATAAGAAGAAATTCAAATTGCGAGCACTGAAGGTCAAATTGACCTATGCCTTATTTCACACACATACAGATATTTTTCTAATTAGGCTCCCCTAATTTCAAAAATAATGAGAAAACTATGCTATTAGGTGGTGGCCAACGCTGTTTCATTAAGACACAAGTTATATTGCAACTGAAATACATCTCTGCAAGCTCATTGAAGTACATAATTTCAGGAATGTGTCAAACTGTTAAGAGCATTAATGCCACAAAAACAAGGGAAGGATATTCATTTTTGCACTTGGACAGGAAAAAGAAACTGTTAAGACAGCACAAATTCTGATGAAGAGGACTTATGAAGCGAACTTGAACAACAAATTTATTTAAGGAGCTTGCAATCCACAAAATCAATAGCAATTATGTTAAAATATAAGGAATAGATTAAATTATTTCTTATCAACTTGGGTTTTTTGGATAATTAATATAATCAAAATAGGAAATCTTAAGTTTATCTAGGAATCCTACAAATTAGGAAAACAAACTAATATACTGAAATAACCAATTGTAGAGAATAACTAAATAAGATCCTAACTAAATAGGAAAAATTAAATATGTTCCATATAGATACTAGTTCCTAAATAACCTAAATTCATTAATAATACATAAAAAATACAATTATATTAGTATATCTTATTATAGAAATACGTAAAATTTAAGATGCTCCTGTTCTGCGTGACTGTAATCTGATGAATAGAAAAAGATGAATTGAACTCCTGAAACCATCTCTCTAAAAGAATTAATGAAGAAGAAACTATATGCGATGTCCACCTTCAAGAATCACTTTTGCCTCTCCGCAAAGTATTTCAGAATGTAAGTTGTAGAGCAATGATTGCCCTTCTTCTTGGTTCCACAGGGTAAATTATAAGCATTCTTTTAACTAATCAAAATCTGCAACTGCTAATTATGGATAGAAAAGATTTACAAGAAAAAATATTGAAACAAAAAAAATAAAAAGGAAAACATGGATGCTACCTTTCCCTCAAGTTCATCAGTTGTTAACTGATTAAGTGCCTGCACCTCAGACTCCATGGTCATCACTGTGTGACATTGAGATCTTAGCTACAGTAACAAGAATATACATTTTAAGGAGAATTACAGTCTACTGCTTATGGTTTCTTTTCCTTTTCATTCCAATATTAGTGGTCCTTTGTGCTAACTTAGTATATGCAGTGTAATAATTAGTCATATTACAAAATAATATTAGTTTTTTAGAATACACTTGCACATAAAAATACTTAGTAAAGACATGCTCGTAAAGTCCAAGACCAAACAAATTAAAATTAGTGAAAAAAAACTTTTAAGTATTATGAGAAAAGAACCTACAAAGTTAAATGTAAGATGACAAAACAAACCACAGATACTGAATTGGCACACAGATAAAAAGAAAACATAAGTATTAAATGTGA